GTTCCCAGACTTCATGAATTCAAGCACCCTAGAGGCTGGCATCCCGCTCCCACCCTTACACTGTAGAAACTTTTAAATGTAGCCGTCTCTTCTACTTCAATAGCTTCATACCTCGCACCTCTCGCCTGTGGAACACCCTTCCCTATTACTGTTTCCCTGAGAGCTATAATCTCCAACTATTCAAATGTAATGTCAATCGACATCTCCAGTTACCTTGATCTATCCACTATCCTTCTCCTCATCCTTTCTTCTATCACTCCTATCTGCTCTCGCTCCAAATCTTCTGCAACCCCCTGCATCCTAGTGGCTTCACGCCTTGCTTGGGGCGTAATGCTTAAAAAAAATTGATATTATTTGCGAAATCCAGTGTTTCTACGGAAAATAAGCACCAACGTACATCAAACTGTTTTTTTTAATTAAATAGCGACAGAACTTTTAAAAGATAAGTGTAAATATTAATGCAATACTTAAATGCAGCAGTTAATTTTGAGTTCATCTGTTGTTTATTATTGCCTATCGCATACTTCTCCACCAATAAAGAACCAAATTGCAATCAAAAGAGCAGCAATCAGAAGAAGAAAATCTCGTATATATGAAACCGCGGATCAAACAACAACCCGGAGAGCTTCCAATACTGAGAATATACAGATTTAGGGACTCTCAAACTTCTGAACAAGCCGAAGGCTCAATCAAGAGCCAACCACAGGATCTGGCTTAAATGCTTTCTTTTAAATCCCTTGAGGTTTCTCCGATGCATTCTTTGTGGCAGTTATTACAGATGATAGAATAAATTCCTCCTTCAAGTTTTTACTTATTATTTTGTTTTGTATTAAGTCTCTTATAAATTTGCAAGTAGTTGTATCACATGATTTCTTATGCTAAGATAAATTATTTTCAAATGTAGTTGTGAAACATAAAGGAGGAATTCACTCTATCACCGGTAATAATTGCCACAAGAAATGCATAGGAGAAACCTCAAGCATTTTAAATAAAGGATATATTTTGATTCATTTTGTTTGCTAGAATGGTCACCTTTTCTATTTTGAAATATTTTATGAGCCTTTTGGTTCATGATGAATATGAAATAATTAAGCTATTGGAGGAGTTTAAAATATTTTCAATCTATGTCTTCTGTTCATATAAATACTGTGTGCTCTTAAATAGAAATCGATGATTATCAACTAATAAAACTGACCTCACAAATTTCTATTTTCCCCATAACATCAATATAAAATCGGGAATAATTATCATACTGCATTAATGCGCATATGTACGTGTTTAGTTTTGTGTATCTGTTTTTTAATATGCAGTTTTTCGACTTATTGTGTATATATAAACAGACACACAGACACATATATATATATATATATATATATATATATATATATATATATATATATATATATATATATATATATATATATATAGGAATTTCAAGATTGGTTCTTCCTAAATATTCACTTGAGGATGAAACAGGGCTTGATACTTTAAGTCAATTTAATTTTAATAATTATATTGAGGGTTTCGGCTCTCGTTTTTGAAACATGAGAACTCTTTTGTAGCGAAGGAATCATATTTTTTAAAAAATACTTATAATCTAAGCTCCACTTCTGTATTGAGCACTGTTTTTTAAAATAAAACCAAAATGCTAAAGAACTCGGATTATTTACCTAACGTGTTCTTTTTTCCTATTTTTCTATATAACTGCACACGCATATATATATATATATATATATATATATATATATATATATATATATATATATATATATATATTCGATAAATCATTAATAGTCCAATGGACTTATCTGATTGACTGACTCCAAAGTTTCACGTCAAACCGTTCACCAGGGTCAGATGTTCGATAATTCCATCGTATAATAATTGTGTTTGTCCACCACTTCGTTAAGTTGCTATGAACACGTGTAAAGACAGAAGACATGCCAGAGACGCTACTTGGTTTCAGCGAAAGAAAGAAAACAAGAAAGGTGGAAGTGTTTAACGTCGCCTGCTAATATCTCACAAATAATGGGTAATTCCATTAAAAGCTATTAATCCTAAGTCTTTTCATTTGTACCCCCTTACTTCTTAAAATAAGGACCAAAATATCTTTGAAGATTTTCAAACAACCATCAAATTATAAGAACATTGAAATCGAAAGAAAGAACGAAAAAAGGGAAGATCGAATATATATTCGAATTAATTTTAAGTCGGGGTAAAGATGAGTTACTCTAGATATTTCTTATAATTATGTCAATAGTTTCACTAACAGGGACATTGGTAAATAAGTTTTCAACATGAAGTGAAGCCATGATTTCATTGTCGGGTTTTTCACTTTTTAGGATTTGGATTACTTCTAATGTTGATTAATATGTTTGAGATCAGTAGAAGCAATATTATGTTTTATTTGCTTAGTATTGAGATTTCTAAGAAAGCGTCTTATTTGTTCATCAACTATATAGTTTGGAAAGCTATTATTAATAAATGTGTGTTTTATATTCTTTAGTTCACTGTAAAAAATCTGTTTTGTGGATGAATTAGTTTCTGCACAATGTATTAGATTTTTTATAATTGCTATTTTGTAGTAATATGGGCATTCGCTCTTGTAGTTAAGTTTACATGAATTTATGCTGGTAGGTTTTTTGTATGGAGAAACAGTAAATTTGTTATTATTTGTGTTTATCAATATATCAAGGAAGGGAATTTTATTATTATTCATACGTGAATTTAAGGACATAATTATTTTGGAAACGTTTTTGAAGTTGAGGCATTTCATATGTA